AAACGCAAAGTCATGCTCATCCTCAGGCACCAAGACCGACCATCCCGAATCCATATTAGCCTTCAGCTAATAACAGCCGGAAAAACAACAACTGCTGCTTTTATGATTACCATATTAATATACGTTTTCAACCGGTTCCGGAGCAGCTGTCAATAAACAGCCTCATGGGGCACCCCACCCACCTATTCTACCACCAATTTCACTATTGTGCCTATGCCAACGTTGCATCTTCTTAGCTCTATTATGGAACATTTCTAAAGCACAGTAGCACCTATGATCTTAAATAAGAGCAAAGATGAACGCACTATGGCAGAGCACGAGGCACAATGAAGACTTCAAGATCACTATAGTGCCTTTATACGATTAATTAATATGCTGATTACATGTGGGAGGTTGGATTCTTTGAGGCTGAACAATTGTGAGGCAGAAGGGACGACACAACGGGACACACAAGTCCCATTTACTAAGAGAGGAAGTTACAGAACTTTACCATTTGTTTAGTCTGAGTCACAGAGCCTTGGCTACAGTGACTGACAAACCAAAAACCACATCAGACAAGACCTGGGAGTGACAGAGAGCGCACAGACATGGAAGAAATGGGGCTGGAAGGGGCCAGAAACCAAAGTCTGACATCACCAATCCCACTGAGTGTTGTCTGTGAGGCAGAGGCATGAAGGGAAAGGATGGGAAGCAGGGAGAAAGGGCGGATTGCAGGCGTTGCTATGAATTTCGCAGGATCCAAACATTCACATGAAAACCTCAGAATTGGTATTGCCGTTTTAATGCAGTTTATATTTTGTGTAATAAAACAATTGTAACAACTCAAACACATTATTTTAACAAATGAGAACAGACAAATAGAGACATGTAATGGGATAATCAAGAGGCAATGTGTGCTATGTCTGCAAATAAAAGAAAAAAGCGAAAGCAAGGAAAGGAGGAACAAAAACCGTGGGAGTGAAAGCAGAAGAGGAAGTCAGGGCTACGGAGAGGCTGGAGGAACAGAACCTGATGCTACAAACGTATGCTGATGAGTCAGAAAGCAGGCCTGTGATGTGATGGAGAATGATCTGACAAAGAGATGTGCTCAGAGCACAGGAATCAGCCACTCTCTAGGGTTGGCTGTGCCTGCATTTCATGTGTGTGTGCGTGCAACCGCCCGCATGTGTGTGTGCGTGAAATAAAAGGACATTAGGGAGAAAGGAATGACACGAGGAAGTCAATGTGTCCTCCTTGAAAATGTATCAATTTTTCTACTTCTGAATTCCCAGCAACATCTAGTAACCAATCCTCTCATTCCCTCATGACAAGCAGAAAGGGGGTTTGCACTAGTGGGAAAAGGACGGGGTATGGTTCCCTCTGATCAGATCATATATGATTTATCAAAAAACTAGGATCAAAAAAGTCAGTCAGTCAGTTCTCTAATCACAACCCTCACCCCTTTAATCAAAGTGACTGCAAATTCTTCAAAGAAATGATGTCTGTAAAATCCTGCCGACCCCACCCACCCTGCTTTCATCTCTTTCCTAAGACAATAGCTCTGGTTTAACGGCATGGCAGATTCCTTCATGGCAGCAGTGTTTTAGTAGAGATAGAACCTCCACTTACAGACAGTATAAACCGTATTCTCTGCTGAATGGAGCAGCACACAACATAAATAACCATGACCTTCGTGAATATTCACACCACCATAGCCATTCGCAAACTATAAATCATAAATATGACCAGAGCTGGGCCTGAAGAGGAATACATTCAACCGTCAAAAGCAAGGGCAAGGCAGGCTTCCATCTTGGAGCTGTGCTGGCATCCTTCTGTGAAAGCCTGCTTAAATGGCACATGGCAATCTGGTGTAACATGAATCTCAATTAGGAGAGGAAACATTCAAAATCTGTGCAGACAAAGGCCCACGTGCCGTACAACTGCTCACTAGACTCATTAAACTATTATACACACAGTAATAATAGATTAAGAGACAGCAATCAAAGAGAGGACTCAGGAAGATAGAAGGGGAAGCACATCAGAACAATAGTTCCTCCTCTGCAATCTGAAATGGAGCCAATGTTTGTTACATGACACAAACTGACAGTCTGCGGGGGGGTGTAGCCCCTCTGGCTATATGACACGTAGCACACCTCGACTAGAGCAGAATATAATGAAGCAGAGATGAACAAAACAAGTGCACTAACATCAATGTGAAAACACTATTGCATACTGGTTTATTCCTGCCATCTAGGACATCTTGAATACAGTGATTCATCTGCATTGTTTACTCCATGGGGCATTTATGTCATATACAATTATTTGGAATAGTAAGTGTCTGTGAACGGACATGTTTATGCAAAAAGCCTCTCAGACTCTAGGCCTGAAAGAGGGCACAACAAAATCAAATTTGTCACCAAGTTAAATCAATAATTTATGGATAACAATTGTGTGTGTACAATAGTACAATACAATGCAATCGTGAAAACCAACATGCGCATCCCAAGCTAATGCGGCATTTCATCTAGGATCGGCATCATTGCAAAATAATAATTATTAATTAATGTTCACTAATTAAGGATAGCAGACCCAAAGGCTTGTGATGTCATCTCTGTAAACTCCTATCTCTGGCACTCTTTCATTTGCTACCCATGGGGGTTTCAGATTGTGCATGCAGAGCAGGTGACAGGCTTTCCACTAATGTTCCTGCACATAGCCTGGGGATTGATTTTATCTTGAGGTAAAGAGGGTGGCAGTTTGAGGAGAGGCTGCTGAGGACAGACGGTGAGTAAGGGAACGAGGGGTTCAAAACAGCAATTCAGGATAAAACACACGGGCAAGTGAAGCCAGGTCTGATATTATTTTTAAAAAGCATCCCAGTCTCTGAATGGAAATGTTTTTCCACTTCCCTCATTGCAGAATATGCCTCTTTTACAATAGCATTTTAAAATCTTACACTGCTGAAAGACGAACATACAATAAGCAGTGCAGTAATATGCATTGTCACACATACTCAAATGTCAACATATTAAAAAGGTGGGGTAGGTAATTCACTTCAGAAACACTTTTTGTTATATTCCATGGAATGCTCTTAACATCCCGATAGCAATGAGTATATTAAATGCTTTGACAATAAATACATAAAAACATTTCATCTGTGGAAGCCGTAGTACTGTAAAAAGCACGACCAATCATTTTAGCCGGGCCGGCTAAAATGATTGGATGGCCTACCTGCCTGTCAGCCTTCCATCTCGTGCACAAATGTATCTCGTGCCCTCATTGGTCATGTGCGCGTACGTGTGTGTTGGAGGAAGGAAGTCTGAAGGAAGGGGCAGATTTGTTTCGGCTGCGTACTTTCAAATTCTAGCGCACTCGAGCTGGTTTCTCCATTCTTACCTACTCTACCTTTAAGGAGAGATGCAGGATTTGTATGTGTATTAATTCCACAATTTAAAGATACCAGGATGTGATGTAAAAGCTTCTGGTCTTCTAGCTCATATTTTTGAGCTGAACAAAATCAAATGCTGTCTCGCCTCAGGAGAATGCTCTAGATGCGTACCTCTGGAGCAGCACTACACCTGCTCTGCATGTCGGAAGGGTAAAGAGTCTCTGTGAAGGAGGCGTGAGACAGGATTTGTAATCCCATATAGCCATCTTTGAGTACAATTAGGCAGCAGAGAGAAAACTGCATTCAGTCACTCTCCTTCTTCTCTGTATTAGTCACCTGTATCAACAGTGTGTGTGGGTCCATAAGAGCAGAGCAGAAACCCTTAGTACATAGCGTTACAGATATTAGACAGCTGTTAAACAACAACATCCCAAGCAAATCTAAAAGGATGGCAAATTTGACTTTAAAGGACATTAATCAACTTCAATTCCAGTTTTCAGTAATGCAACCACATGACTAAAGCTCAGAAAATTGACAAAATATTAACATAGCTAGCGGCATGCCTCTCATAAATGAAGGAACATCGAAGCCTTTCCTTCACTTACATTTGCGATATCAGTTATGTAAAATGGTGTACTGCGGCACAGTAGCATGTGAGAGGAACATAGTGGTGTAGGTGGTGCTCATTTTTGGTGGATGACAAAGCATAAAAATATAAAGCAATCCAGCCTGAATCCACCCCCGACAGCTCCCTGCCATGTACAGGGCACGGTAGATAAACACTAAACAGGGAAGAGACATTTCACAATACCCCTCAATTATATATCAGTGTTTATCTCAAAACGGCAGTTTTTTTTTTTATCAGAGGTAAATCTTAGTAGTAAAGTGGTTGTAGCACTGGCTGTGGAGCACCTCCTCTTGGTAAAACAAGTTGCAGTGCTGAGACAATTAGGCCTGAATAACTGATACAGATAAGGCTCTCGCACAAGTTATCGAAAGGCCAGGATTGCAACAGCTAAACATGCATGTGTGGTTTGGCAGAACATTAAAACTTCGAGAGCAACAGAAAGTTGTTTAACCGACTGACTGAGCTCCTGTAAAATGAAATTCCTGCCAGGTAGTGTGTGTGAAAGACTAAATATTTGTTATTAACTTTCATCGGATGCTGAAAAAAACTATTGCATTGTGATTAACTCACTGCATTTGAGGACAGGCCATACATTTTCAGATGCTCTCAAGCACTGTGTAATACTAAAGGACAGGTACATCAGGGTGTAAAAAGCCTTACTAAAGGCTGTTTTCAAACTAAAGCATGTCATCACAACACTGTATTAAAAAAAATCGACTATTTTGCACTAGCCATTTGCTTTGACATGCCTGCAATGTAACTAGCTATGTGTTTTGCTGTTCCGCTCATAGACCGCCCTCCCACCCTGTAATCTCCCTGGCTGTTGCTGTGTACCAGCAGAAACAGGGATGGGTCTGAGTTATTCCGCTACGTAGTTTCACATCTAATATTCAGTCCATTAAAAGAAAACGCAATAAGGCACAAAGACAGGTGAGCAAGCCAGTGTGTACTCATCTGAACTACAGTATGTCAGTGAAGATGAGGAGGGGATAAGCATCAACTCACCAGCTCTGTCCATCCTGCATCACTCTGAAGCACCTATTATATCACAACGACATAAAAATGTATGACATATATAAGAGAAGAATGGGTTTTTGTGCAACAGTCAAGCAAGCTACAAACGATGTTAATCCACAATAAAATTGAAGAATGTAATCTTGTTTTTTTTTTCATAATGAACATCATGGCACACAAAACAATAACAAATGTATGTTGAAAAGAAACAAAAAGAGGAGAAAGGGTGTGAAAATGAAAGAAACTGCAACACTGTCCAGAGATGACATCATAATGTAGAAAGCTATTCGGATCTGTGTAGGCCGAGCAGGTGTGGGATAAAACCAAAAATAAATTGGCAATGAAGTAATCAGCTGACGTCCCAGTATCCCTCGTGAGGGAACGACCCGTGCAGAAAATTACACTGACCTGGGACGCCCAGGAAATAACCGCTAATCTGCGCACCCAGTGTGTGCGTGTGGAGACACAATGGGTACATTTGGTGTGGTAATGTTAGCCTATAGCCACAACTCTCCTCAAACCGAAGTTTAGCCATGCGGCTAACTGCTCAGCATCTACCAAAGAGAAATGCTAAATTAACTAACCGATTGACTTGCAGCAACATGTGTAATAATCATTGCTCGAGTTAATAAGCAGAAATTAAACAAAAGAGTTAAGTTGGCAGAGAAGCAAACAGTCTCCGCAGCACACCAAGCTGTCTTGCTAGCTAACTCACCGGTGATAACCTAGCAGGCTAACCCTAGTAGTCGCAACATTACTGCTGCAAAAGTGCAGTTTAACTTCAACCGCTAATTTGTTCGCCCCGTTCATTGTTTGTGCTTCATGTGGGGAATCATTTGCACTCCAGTTCCGTGTTTGTCGGTGCCACATTAAAATCATTTCACTTTTCTGAAGCTAACGTTGCAGTTCCTGTGTTTTTACCTTGCGTCTCCTGGCTTCAGCAGTACCACTCCAAACAAAGCATTGGTATATGACTCGAAGATTTTGTTTCCAATTATCCACCTTATAACCGTTCACATGGGAGCACCCGGCCGGACTCATGACAGACAAAACATTCAGTTTGGGTTTTTTAGGTGACAATGAAAAGTCTCCTGGATGATTCACTTAGCTAGCTACCTAGCACGAACTGTATGTCCAGAAATGGTTTCCGTTTGGAAATGGGACAATCGATGTAGTATCCAAAATACTCCTCGGGCATCTGACAAACACGGTCTTTGATTAACTAGCTACACATCATGTAGTCACCTAACGGAATTATCACTTCTCTAAGATTTCTGCTCCTCTGGCTGTTTTGACAGTTGTCTTTTCCTTTAGCGTTAGCTCCAGTTCCACTCTCACGATTAGTTAGCTTTCTTTCTCTAGTTAGCCTGCTAACACTCAACTACAGCTTCACAATGCCCGCCCAGCGTACACCGTGATTTGTCAACACAAAGACGTTACGTCACTACGTTGGGTCGCTGCGCACGTTGGATGCGCTTGGTTTGGATCCCAATGTGTTCCGTGTGGGTGCATATATTATTTTAAACATAGATAGGATGCATCAATGGCGTAACATAAATCACCTTCCTTACAGGATAGGGTGGAACTATATCAAAATGCACAGTAAAATTATTCTGTATGGTGCAAAGCTGTACTATGTTTTTTAAAAGGATACATTATCAACAAGGACCAAATATGTATGTCACTTTCTTTAGGACAATCATTGCAGATGGCTGTTCGGGAGATGCTTCATCTGTCACTTGGATACACGTATTGGATAAGCTTTGGAACTATGTGCAATAGTAAAACAAATTTAAATGTGTTTTAGTCTTTGACAGAAAAAAAGAAGGCCTAAAACTAAATATTTCAATGTGAAATTCCCCAGTATAAAAGTAAACGTTCAACCCATTTGGTTTAATCAATTAAAGCCTACCATCTAGTGGTCATAGGATGTATGTATTTGCTTATACAAAACATAAAAAACTCAACTGCAAAGTCAACTTGGTTGTCTATGTACAGATACGAAGCCTGACAATTCATCTTTAATTTAGGTTTCAAATATATATTTAAAAAGTAATATTGGCTAATCTGACATGTCTGTAAAAATGTGTTGAAATAAATAGTCAATTCTCTTGATTGTTCACTTGGGGGCACTGCAGGTCTTCTGATCTGTACAGTAGGTTTGTAGTTGTGTGTATATTCAAATTGGTTGGTGGTGTTAACAGGAAATACATATAAATAATGTTAATATAGACAAAACAATGATATATTTTAATTTGAATAATATATTTAAATAAACTCACTACAGATTTGAATTGTTTTTACTTTTTGTCTTGTAATTGCACTGTTGGGGAACTTGCAATCTAAGGTTTACATGCATAACATGATTACACCGTAGTTGTGTATAGGTTATGACAATAAACCTTTGAATCTTGAATTTGTATTGACTGACAAAACTGGCCAGTATGTCTTTACATTTCAATATTCTGTAATTAGCTCTCCAAACAGAAGACTTAAACATTGATGTGGTGTGGTGCGTGTGGTGCAGTGAGTTGTGTGTTGGTGTTTGGATCAGGTGTTCACAGGTTCAAACCCCACGGTGGTCACAGGTTCAAACCCCACTGCAGTCAGCATGTCGTTGTGTTCCTGGGCAAGACACTTCATCCCAAATTCCTCCTGTGGGGATTGCCTACAGACAGTATTGAATATGTAAGTCGCTTTGGATAAAAGCGTCTAACAAGTGTCATAATTGATTGATTGAATGGATAAATAACACATGTTCCTGTCTTAGACAGTTGGAGAGGTTTCAGGGACAGGCCCTCAGCATATTGGTAGATGCTCCCGGCACAGACAACAGCATGCTCACTATAATCTATTTCCGTGGTTTCACTGGGTAGTATTCAAGACATGGTGTTAAGCAAAATCATTTTCAATTACTTTTAAAGGCTACATTTATTTTTAACTGAATGAATGATTCACATACTGTTTAGCTGGGATCTTGCAGCGCAGTTTGATAAATTGCTAGACAAACCTTATTGCTGACAAAACTTGATGATGCATGAAGGTGCAGCTGGAGTATAAAGGATGATAATGTAGTGAATAATATATAAATAGGGCATAACATGAGATTGATGTAAGGACTTATTTCAGTAGACAGAGAAGGAGTTGAAGTGTCTTTTAGGTGTTATAGTTAAAACCATAAAATGAGGTCTAAATCTAATAAAAAGGTAGTGTAAAAGTAATTATTGGAGTAATTGATATGTGTGTTTAGTTTTTTTCCGGCGCTCATGAAGCCTGTTGTAAACTCAATGAATGCCACATTTACATGAAAATAGTTTAGCTGTTTTGTGATTAAAAGATCATTAAACAACCATACCAGAATCTTATGACATGGAATTTATTGTTTATCTTGTCAACAGTCATGTCATTTCTCCTGCAATGCTTAATTTATTTATTTTATCAGTAACTACACTGTTGGTTCAAAGCTTGCATGTCTCCTTTGCAGCAATAAAAACAACTATAATGCAGTTACGGTACAAAATAAGTGCACTAAAGGCCAGTAGACTATCAAGGTTCATTGGAACTGGGCCACTGCTTTCTAGGAAATCCAGATGCTGAAATAGACACTGATGGGTATGAACGTATGAACTAGTGCTTTGGTAATCATTTAGATGTGACAGAGCTAGTTCTGAGTAAAATTAAGCACAAGCAGTCATTCAATTTGTACTGAATGATTCAACTTTGTTTTGGACCCAAAGATACACAGGATATCATGACCAAATGACCCCTCATATTCATGACAAGGACACATTGTTTGTTAAATTAAATGTGGAATGATTAATGATCAGCAGCTGACTGGCTACTCTTTATATGATACTCATAAAGACAGTTGGTGAAAGTCTCTTTCCAAGAAGCTTATTTGAATCAGATGATGGGAAAACATTTCTTGCCAAGTAAAACCTTTGTTTTGGATTGGCAATCTGACTGCATGTCTTTATTTCTTCAAGACATTTAAGTATATTAGCTAAAGGAATTGAACTGAATTAGAAACGTAGTAAGAATACACATTTAAATTAGTGTCACTGTAAAAGATGATCTTTTGTATATATTGCAAAGCATTCTAATATAAGAACACAGAACATCTGAAATAAACTTCAGCCTCTTCTCATTGATTTTCTGCTTGAAATCACTTTCATGCTAAACGATTTGCTCATAAGAATACGTAGGCTAGATACTTTTTGTCAACACACTTTGAAACAGTTATTATTGTGACATTATTCTAACAGTATTGATTGTTATGAGCATGTATGTATGAAGAGCATATATATTTTGCATAACGTTACGTCATCATCCGACGCATGACGTACACAATCCGCGCCGCAGAGCAGGGAGCGTGATGGCAGCTCCTCAGCAAAGAGAAGAGAAAGAGAGCGAGGATTGCTCTTTGTTGCCTTTAGTTCATGATATTATCAAATGGTAAGGTTACTGGCAGATTCTCATGTGTTACATGTTCAACTGCCGCCCGGTGGAAACGTAATTACTTGTCGTAAAGTCGTTATGGTGGGGTTGATAAGCTTGTTGACTTGTTAGCCGAAGCTAAGTTAATTTATAGGCTGAGAAGAAAAGGTAAACGTCCAAAACAACCAGTGGTGTAAAGTAATTAAGTACATTTACTCAAGTACTGTACTTAAGTACAATTTTGAGATAGGCCTACTTGTACTTTAATTGAGTATTTCAATGTTGTGCTTCTTTGTACTTATACCCCACTACAATTCAGAGGTAAATCGTGTGCTTTTACTCCATTACATGTATTAAATACCTTTAGTTACTTAGCAGATTTTGATTAATAATGTGATATATAATCAACTCTTAAATCAGACTCAAGTTCCAACTGGTCTGTGCAGTATACAAAATCATTCAAACTAGCTGCACTTTTACCAGCTTTGATAACACATGAGTGCATTAATAATTATAATCAAAACATATCATATATATTATCATGAAATGGGCCAATCTGCATAATGAGTACTTTTTACTTTTGGTACTTTAGGTATATTTTGATGGCAATACTTTTGTACTTTAACTTGAGTAACATTTGCAATGCAGAACTGTTTCTTGTTCAGAGTATTCCTGCACTCTGGTACTTCTACCTTTACTCAAGTACAAGATCTGAGTACTTCTCCCACCTCTGAAAATAACATGTCAACATGGAAATAACATATTCCCTTTCTCCCCTCAATCTGCTTAAGCATGGACAAGGACAGCCCGGATGTTCACCAAGAACTGGCCAAGCTGAAGGTGAAGATCCAGGAGGCTCGGGATCAGATCTCCACCATGCCCGGGGTGGACAGCAGTCCTCTGGAGCAGCAGCAGCAGCTGGCCATGCTGCGGGAGCAGGTCCGCACCAAGAACCAGCTGCTGCAGAAATACAAAGGTCTGTGCATGTTTGACGTGCCAAAAGCATCCTGAAACAGAGCACTGACTGAAGGACACTCACAGACAGTCAAGGTCATTCTCACATATGGAGCAAATGTGGGATTCAAGAATACAGGATGGACGTTTAAATGAGAAAGGATTTTTTTCCTTCAGTTGCATCACTTTGAAAGATGTCTTGAACGACATACAATGTCTTCTTTTGGCTTTTGTTTGCGTTGCTAGAATGCAAACTTAGTTGTGTTGTGTTTATATTAAATGTAGTTTTACAGTTTATCATTTCCTTATGTTATTATATTGACTTTTTTTCTTTTTTTCTAATAAATTGAATTGAATAAGGAGTATTGGTCTAAAGTCTTTTAATCAGCATACTGCTTGCACATATTAATTTGAGCCTGTGGCCTTCATCATTAATTAAGTACATTATTGGCACACACTTCTATCAGTACAAAAAGCAATTATTCACTATGTGTGTTCAGTGTTTCCCACAGATCTCAAATATACTTGGGGGGGTGGTGGTAGCGGGGGGGGGTTGAGGTGATGTGCAACAACATTAACATGAACCTTTCTGTTGGTCGCTTGTTAGCAGACCCTTCACGCGATGGCAGAGCGAACAGGTACAGCCAGGGCCCATAATGATAGCCCTATAGTTTAAATCTACTACCCACACATGAACATATGCAAATGAGTTACTATTTAAAAAAATTAATGTATTTATAAATGTATTTAGGAACCTATCCATGTGATTTTTAGTGGGGGTCGACCTCAAATCCTCTAGGGGGGTCCAGGGGCATGCCCCCCCGGTAAGATTTTATTTTGGAGTTAAATGCATCAATCTGGTGCATTTTGAGGGGAAAATAAAGAGACTAGATCTATGGAAACACCTATATTAAACAGAACTGTATACATTTCAATAATCATAAAATCATGGCCATAACCAATAACATACCATTTCCAATATGAAAAAAACACTGAAAGTTGTTTATTCATTTATTTTTGGTTCATTTATAGTTGTGAGTGTGTCTGTGCTCCTAAATCAGCCTCTCCTGTCTCCCTCCTCTCCCCCTGCTCCTCTTTGAGGCAGCAGCAAAGACTAGTTTTCTCTCAACAAGTTTTAAAAGTGTATCTTACCTTTTTTCACCTAGTTAACTTTTTATTTATTTATTCATGCATATTTTACTAATCACATTACATTTCATTTAGCTGACGCTTTTATCCAAAGCGACTTATAATGACCGATTACAGGGACATTCTCCCTGGAGTAACTAAGGGAATCAGTACAAAGAAGAGGTGCAAGATTCATTTTTGGAGATTATGAATGGGACAGCAGTGTCACAGAAATGCTCAAGCGGTTGAACTGGGTGGAATTAAGTGAAAGGCGGCGATTGGCTCGTTTGGTTATCTTCTTCAAGATTGTCCATAACATCTCAGCCATTGATGCATCAATGTACCTAGAGCCAGTTAGAAGAAGTGCAACCCACAAAGCCAAATCTTTGAAGTTCGAGCAAATTTTCGCAACTAGTGACACTCTTAAATACTCCTTCTTTCCGAGAACAATCAGAGAGTGGAATTTGCTACCAGAAGAAGCTGTCATCGCAGAAACCGTGGAGTGCTTCCGGCAAATTTTAAGAGACATTTAGCGGGGATCATCCATCCCCCACTGAGCGTGATACCTCTGGGTTCTGCTCAGTATTAATCCAGATCCAGGGCTAAGTGCCTTACTCAAGGGCACACTAGTGGTGGTGTTCCTCGCGGGATTTGAACTCACAGCCTTCCGATCTTCAGCCCACCTCACTATCCATTAGACCAATCACTACCCTCTCAAATGGAAATATGTGTTTACATAAATGGTGACCACACCGTTTGAGACCCACTGAGAACTTAGACTAAGTTAACTATCTAAACACTCAGAGAGTCCTTTACCTCACCTGAGCTGAGGTTATCCCGAGCTTGAATGACACACAGAGACCAATCAAGGGCTTTGATTTATGATCTGTATGACAGTGGCCATGTTGGCAGGCCACATCATGTAGACAGCCAGTCACCCTGTGTGAGGCAGGCCACTTAACAGGCCAGAAGGAGGCGAGATCAGAGCAAGGGAGCGAGGGATCATTGTCCACAAGTTAATCGATCGCAGATGGCGTCGTGGTCACGGATGAATAAAAAAAACAAAAAAAACACCTAAATGGGTCGCGAAATATACTTGGGCGGCCGTTAATATACCTGGGCCCAAGTATAGTCTATGTGTGGGAAACCCTGGTGTTGTGTTCAGACATGAAGGGGGTTAGGCATTCTAAATCATTCAGTTTTATGCTTATCCAAAATGAATAGCTGGTGGCTCATGGCTGAAAAGTCCCAGTGAAAGTGCTCTAAACTGTTAGGTGAGTGTGTTTCTGGACCCTCAGGTCAGTATGTTACATTAATCTTGTGTATGAATGGAAAGGATGAGCTATGGGGCGACTTTAGATATATTTTTTAGGGAGTGGCTATATACAGGACCGTCCTGTACACAACGCCAAATGACTATATACAGGACCGTCCTGTACACAACCCTCTGAAATGGCTATATACAGGACGGTCCTGTATATAAGGTCTCTGAAATGGCTATATACAGGACGGTCCTGTATATAAGGTCTCTGAAATGGCTATATACAGGACGGTCCTGTATATAAGGTCTCTGAAATGGCTATATACAGGACCGTCCTGTATATAGCCATTTCAGGGCTTCTGTGCAGGACCGTCCTGTATATAGCCATTTCAGAGAGCTGTGTACAGGACGGTCCTGTATATAGCCATTTGGCATTGTGTACAGGACCGTCCTGTATATAGCCTCTGCCTATTTTTTATATATGTATCCCATACGTTTGGCACTGTGTAACTTCATTGTGCTTTGCTCGAAAGTAAAGAGAAGAGGAAGACAAACTATGAAAGTAACAAGTGATTTTATTTTCTCTTTTATCTAAAAGTTGACAGACATAATAAATACACATTTAGATTTGTTCTCAATGCAACAAAAATTCAAGTATATCCCAAGTAAAAAAAAAATGAATATAGCAAAATGTAAACGGTTTTTTTCTCAAGTGCCTTTTTGGCAAGCTAATGTGAGCAGAAGTTACAACATTTTCCTAGCATCTACTGCATCACTACATAGGGGACAGGCCTATGAGCGGAGGCACCTGCCCCGTGTGTCTCATCACAGTTTGGATCACATTGCGTCTCTCGACTCGGGCGCTGGAGTCTACAGTATTTGGGTTCATGTCATGTGACCTGTTGAACGGCTCCGCTTCAGCTCTGGAAAGTCTAATAAAGTCTTTTGCACACACAAATAAAGTGTCAGCATATGATGCAGCCTTTCTCTTTGGTCTGGCTACCTCCTATGGCTTTCTCCTTTATGTACATCAAGTCACTCTGCACGCTGGGTCTCCGCGCAAACGGCTCCACAATCCCATATGCGTTCCCATCTTTGCACTTCTTATTTCTTAGGGACTTTTTGTGAAGAACTTCGCAGAACTGCACGGAAACTTTGCAGTGGCGACCGGGGCTCATTTCGGTTGGCAGTTTGGCAATGCTAAAGAGAGTCTGAAACATTTGGTCCACGTTGGTGTTCTTCTTTGCTGAGATTTCAAAGTAAGCGCAGTGCTCGTCTCCACCGACCAGCTGCTCGATCTCCTCCTCCTGCACCTCACGGTAAAAGTCTTTGTCACACTTGTTGCCGCAGATCATCACCGGGACGTCCACGTTCTCCTTTGTTTTGTTTCGCAGGCAGGACTTGGTTTCATATATCTGTCGCTTCAGACGCTGCACCTCCTGGAAGGATTCTCTGTTGTCCAGACTGAACACCAAGATGAACACATCACCTGGAAAAACAAATAAGAAGAAATGTTCAATATACAATAATTGTATAACATTTTAATAGCAGCAAATTAACTTTGCAAACAGCAACAGGCTATTGGCTTAAAGTTTCAGAGCTCAACTCACCGGTAAGAATTGATAGCCTCCTCATTGCTGGGAAGGGATGATTTCCAGATGTGTCCAAAATGTCCAGCTGGTAAACGTCTCCCCTGATGCTGTAGAGTTTCCTATGAAAGTCCTCAATAGTTGGTGTGTACTGGTCGTCAACTCTCTCGTTCAGAAACCGAGAGATGATGGATGTCTTCCCAACTTTAGTGGAGCCCATAATCACCATCCTGTGGCAATTCTTGGCCGGGATATCGAACTCATTCTCGGAGATTGATATTTTCTTAATCATGCTTACAGCAGATGCACCCGGAGGTCGATGGTGTAGAAAGTGGTGGGTTTAAGTCCTTTCTGTGATGGGAGAGGTTCTAACCTCGCTGTGTCTCTGAAGCCTGAGGAGAGAAGGCTGGGGATTTATGGGGGAAATTGGCCGCGCCTCCTTCATGCGTCATGCGTCATGCTCCAGTTTGGGGAGATGGAACAAGACTCGATATCATAATGTTACTGTGGCAGTTTTTGTGCGTCAGCCCCCTCATTATCAGAAGAAGGTAATGATAGTTTGTTAAAACATTTAGCATTTTGTTGTTAATTATCACAAATTAGGTGCATAAGCAATGGCAATAATGTGAATTGGTATTTTTTTTTAAATGTATACTGTATTCAAACTTTTCTTTAAAGTGCATTATATTGAACCAATGCGTATGTATTCATTGGACACAGACGTATCTCACATTTACATTGTGCATGTCCCTAAACACTCTTTCTTTTTAGTGTCCCCACATAAGTACAGGAAATTAAGCAGCCTTAAAATCGCATAACTGAAAGTTCATTTATGATATTGTAGCAGCCTTACAAATGCACCTTGAGATGTTACTGTGTTTTTAAAATATGCTATTATTATTGTTATTATTATTACATTTACTCAATTGATTTGCTTCAATGAAAGGCGCGAAGCAGATAACTAAATAAAGTAATGAGGTTATACTGTTACCATTTCACTGTCACTGGGTCTTATAGTTTACAATGTGCAAGTTAATTTCATTTTCCTTGATTTCATGGTCAAACATGAAATGTTAGTCATATTTATTTTAGAATGATTGGCAATAAAATAGTATTAAAAACAGTTACAAAAATAAACCTTTAAAAAATACCATACAAACCAAATTATTTATTTAAAAAAAGAAAACTACATAAAGAACACAATCAGATCATCCTAAATGCAAGCAGCAATGTTTAAACGTCACAATGAGATGGAGGAACTACTGGATGGACTGTTGCCGGGAAGGCATCGAATCCCATTGGTATTGACTTTCTCGTAAGTGTTAATCAAAGTATCCCACCACCGGCCTTAAGATAGAGCCCGCTGTTTCTGAGTCAACTTTAC